AGTTTAGTGTAGGTTTAGGCTTTATAAATGATTAATTCGGTTAGGGTGGTAGCTTAACGACCTTTCTTATCCCGATCAAATTTTGGCGCCGTTGCTGGGGAAGCGGCTTGTTTAGCGAATATTATTGCTTTTGTTAGAGTCATTATGCTTTCTTTTCTTTTTGTTTTTTTTTGTTTTATCATCCTTGTCATTGCTAATTGTTTTCTTAGCTTTGGTGAATGCTTAGGAGGTCTCAAGGAGCACCCTCACATCAAATTGACCACTAAATCAACCGAACCTTGTGACAAGTCCGTAGGCTTTATCAAGACGAGGGAATAGGTTTTGGTGATATAGTTGATAGTGAGAGTGATACTTACTCTTCAAGTTCACCACGCGAATCAATGGCGGGACAAGAGAACGATGTCTTATTTCGTGAGTTCGGAAATCCGGAGGGTTATGAGCTCACGGTAGGGATTTTTCTGCCCGTCACGGAAACCAAATTCTCAATCCATCCACAATATACTCGAATGGTCCAATCGGAGCAATTTTCCGGAAGTGCAAGTGAGGACCCTATTGAACATTTGGACCGATTCCCTGAATTGTGCGTAAAGATGCAAACCAATGAAGTGAGTCAAGACTTCATTCGTATGCACCTTTTTCGGCAATCTCTCACCGAACGAGCAAAGAAGTGGCTAAAGCAAGTAAAGCCTAACTCTCTCACAACATGGAGGGAAGTTGTAAAGGCGTTCTTGAAGCGCTTTATCTCCGAAGAGAAGACCGCCGAAATGAGAAGGAAAATTGCATCATTTGAGTAAGAGGCCGATAAAAGTCTCGGTGAAGCATGGGAGAGATTCAAAGAGTTGGTGTAAGCATGTCCCCACCATGAGTACAATCAAGGGTTGCTCATGTTGTTTTTCTACGACGCATTGGAGCCCATGTCAAGAGCTAATTTGGATGCGGGGGCGGGTGGTCAATTAATCAATATCCCTTAAAATCAAGTTGTAGCCACAATAGAAGAGGTAGAAAAGAATTACTCTTGGGGGTGCCGAAGAAGAAACGCTCCAAAGAGAGGGTGTATTTACGAATTGGAGAAAGTTGATCAATTACAACATCAAATTGATTAACTAACAAAAGGGCTTTCCAAATTGAACACGAGTGTGAATGCAATCTCAAGTGGTGGAGAAATCTCTTCTCAAGTTAACTCTTTCTCTTGTCAAAATTGTGGACGAACGAACAATGATACATCCTATTGTGGAGGTTAAAGCCCCGAACATGTAGCGGCATACAACACAAGGCAAGAGGGGTTTAGAGGAAGCGGCGGTGGAGTAGCTTGGAGACAACCACCACCCGGGTTTGTACCTCAACCTCAACAATGGAACCAACAAGCTAAACCATCCTATAACTCCAATCCTCAATATTAAAATCCACCTCCATCTCAACCCTAAAACCCAAGAGGAAGCTATCCAAGGAACAACCAATACAACAATCAAACCCAAGCACCTCAAAGAAACCATCAAGAACAAGCACCTCAAGCGGAGCTAACTCAAACTCAACTCCTCCAAGCCATGCATGCACAAATGCAATCTTTTGGGCAACAAATGCAAGAGATAAGAGCTCACAACAAGATGGTTGATTCACAAGTAGCTCAATTGGCCGAGAGAACTCCTTTCAATTCACCATCCACTCTACCCGGACAACCACAACCTAACCCATCCTACAATCCAACACTTGATACATGAAAATCGATCACATTGAGGTCGGGAACTTCCTATGAAGGACCAAATGAAGGGGATAGTGAGGAAAACAAGGGAGGAGAGGATAGTGTGAATGAAAACAAGGGAGGTGAGAAAGAAAAAGGTGATGAGATAAAAGGAGGTTCGGATAAGAAGAAGATAGACAATGAGAAAAAACTTCAATTCCTAGTGAGGCTAGGAATCTTGATGGACCAGTTCCTTTTCCCGGTCGGTTTGCGGAGTGGAAGTTGTCTGACAAATTCACAAAATTTCTTAGTGTCATGAAGAATTTGCATATCAACCTCCCTTTTCTTGAAGTTGTGACACAAATGCCATCTTATTCCAAGTTCCTCAAAGATATTCTCACCAACAAGAGGAAGCTCAATGATGAGCTTATCACCCTTCCACATAAAGTGAGTGCTCTTGTCCAACATAAGATGCCCAAGAAGGAAAAAGACCCGGGAAGTTTCACTTTACCGGTTAAAATTGGGAACATGGAAGCTAGGGGCGCCTTATCCGATCTTGGAGAAAGTCGTAGTTTAATCCCTCTATCGATTGCTCAAAAAATCAATATTGAGATGATCCCTACAAGGAAGACAATTCAATTGGCCGATCGATTAGTAAAATGACCTTGTGGAGAGCTTGAGGATGTTCCAATTCAAGTGGGACACATCTACGTGCCTTGTGACTTTGTAGTGATGGACATGGAGGAAGATGTTAACACTCCTATGATTTTGGGACGTGAAGCTCTTAAAACTTTGGGGGCGGTCATCAATTGCAAGAACAACACTATCACTTGTGATGTGGCCAATGAAAAAATTGTCTTTGAATTTTTAAAGTTGTTCAAGACCCCCATGGTTGAAAAATGCTATAGATTTGATGTTGTAAATGAGGAGCTAGATCGCTTGGGGAGGGTTTTGATGAGGCCTCAAGATCCAATGATTGAAGCCCTTACATGCAAATAAAGAAGAGTTCCACTCTCAAGAGGCTAAAGAATTTGTCATGGCAATGGAGGAATCCTCAAAGGAGGAAGTTGAACAGCAAGTTGAGACCGAGCTTGAGTCCAAGGAGGAGAAATTGGAGGAGAGTTCTAAGCCTCCTCCCAAGGTAGAACTCAAGCCCCTTCCCCCTTATTTGAAATATGCTTTTCTTGATAAGGAGGGAAAATACCCTATTATTGTCAATGCTACCCTAGATGATCTTAATTTGGAAAAACATCTTGATGTTTTAAGGAAATATAGGGATGTGATAGGGTATAGCATTGATGATATTAAAGGTATTATCCCTTCTTTATGCATGCATCGTATTCATCTTGAAGATGATCATTCCACCTCCATTGAACCTCGAAGAAGGTTGAACCCCCACCTTCAAGAGGTTGTGAAGAATGAAATTTTGAAACTACGTGAGGCGGGCATCATCTATGATATATCCGATAGCAAATGGGTTAGCCCGGTTCATGTGGTTCCAAAGAAGGGTGGAATGACCATAATCAAGGATGAAAAGGGAGAGGAAATCTCCACCCGGACGGTGACCGAGTGGAGAATGTGCATTGATTATAGGAAATTGAACAAAAACACCAAGAAAGATCATTTTCCTCTCCCTTTCATGGACCAAATACTTGAAAGGCTTTCTAACCATGGTTTTTGTTGTTTCTTGGATGGGTATTCTGGATTTTTCCAAATCCCTATCCATCCAAGTGATCAAGAGAAAACTACTTTCACATGTCCATATGGGACATTTTCATACCGAAGAATGCCATTCGGATTATGCAATGCTCCCTCTACTTTTCAAAGATGCATGCATGACTTCCATTTTCTCTGAGATGCTTGAAAAAGAAATTGAGGTTTTCATGGATAATTTTAGTGTTGGTGGCTCGTCTTTTGACACTTGTCTTTTTTAACCTTGAAATTTTTTTGAAAAAGGTGTCAATAGACGAGTTTGGTTTTAAAATGGGAAAAGTGCCATTTTATGGTTGAGGAGGACATTGTCCTCGGCCATAAGGTTTCAAAAAATGGCATTGAAGTAGATCCGGCCAAGGTTTCGGTGATTGAAAAGTTTCCCCCTCCTACTTCCATCACGGGGGTACGGGCTTTTCTTAGGCATGCCGGTTTTTACCGGAGGTTTATTAAAGATTTTTCTTTAATCGCCAAACCCTTGACCGAATTACTCAAAAAAGAGGTTGTTTTTTACTTTAATGAGGCTTGCCTTGAGGCGTTTCGTAAGCTCAATGAAGCTCTCATTTCTTCTCCCGTTGTGCAAGCTCCGAATTAGAGCTTGCCTTTTGAGCTAATGTGCGATGCTAGTGACTTTGTAGTAAGTGTCGTTCTTGGTTAAAAGAAACAAGGAAAATCATGTGTAATCTACTACGCAAGTCAGACTCTAGATGAGGCTCAAAGGAATTACAGAACAACGGAGAAAGAGATGTTAGCGGTAGTGTTTTCATTCGATAAGTTTCGGTCCTATCTCATATGCTCAAAAGTTATCGTGTACACGGATCACATCGCGGTGCGGTATCTCATGACCAAGAAAGAAGCAAAGCTTCGTTTGATCTGTTAGGTTCTCTCTCTCCAAGACTTTCACATGGAAATGAGGGACAAGAACGGAGCGGAGAACTATGTAGCGGATCATTTGTCTAGGCTACCATTTGAGAACAAGGAGGATGTACCGATTAATGATGAGATAGGATTTGAGGCTCTCATGGCTTTGGTGTCAACTTCTACCCTTGGTATGCGAATATAGCCTACTATCTTGCGTGTGGAGTCGTTCCCCCTAAGTACTCTTCTCAATAAAAGAAGAAGTTTTTCAAGGAGGTGAGAAGACCCTACTTATGGAATGACACATACCTATTCAAGCAATGTGCAGATGGCCTTTATCGGAAGTGCTTTCAAATCATGAAATTCATGGTGTTCTTGAGCATTGCCACTCACTACCATGTGGAGGACATGGTGGTGTTGACAAAACAGTGGCAAAAATCTCTCAATCCTTATTGTGGTGGCCGACAATGCATAGAAGCCCACCAATTCGTTGCGCAACGTGATAGATGTCAAAGGAGCAAAGGCATTACCAAGAGGGACGAAATGCCTAACAAAGTATTCTAGAAGTGGAACCCTTTGATGGGGGATGGATTTTATGGGGCCTTTCGTTTCTTCTTGTGGGAATCTATATATTTTGGTAGAGGTCGATTATGTAACATAATGGATTGAAGCTATACCCTCACCTACCAATGATCACAAGGTTGTGCTTAAGCTCCTAAAGACGATCATCTTTCCTAGGTTTGGAGTTCCGAGGATGCTAATTAGTGATGGAAGCTCCCATTTCGCCAAAAAGCAATTTGAAGCTCTTCTCAAGAGGTATGGCGTTCATCACAAGGTTGGATTACCTTACCACCCTCAAACTCAAGGACAAGTGGAGGTCTCGAATCGTGAAATCAAAAATCTTCTTGAAAGGATGGTGAACAAATCAAGGAAAGATTGGTCTCTCAAACTTGATGACACGCTATGGGCTCTAAGGACGGCGTACAAGACTCCAATCGCCACGACCCCCTATAGGTTGGTTTATGGAAAGGCTTGTCACTTGCCAGTTGAGTTGGAGTACAAGGCTTGGTGGGCCATCAAAGAGCTCAATATGGATTTATCGTTGGCCGGTGAAATGAGATTGCTTAAGCTCAATGATCTTGAAGAGCTTAGAGATGTTGCTTATGAAAGCTCAAGGTTATATAAGGAGAAGACCAAAAAGTGGCATGACCAACATAATTGAAACAAGAACTTTAAGGTTGGAGACAAGGTTTTGCTTTTCAACTCAAGGCTTCGTTTGTTTCTGGGTAAACTCAAATCAAAGTGGTTGGGTCCTTTTGTGATTTCAAAGACTACTCCTTATGGCTCCTTTGAGTTAGATGCGGATGGTAACAAGTTTATGGTTCATTGACATCGTTTAAAGCATTACTTTTGTAAGGAAGAAGTTGGTATCATCGAATGTATATTGCTTGATCCTTTGGATCCCAAGCCTCCCACTTGAAGAATTTTTCTCATGGTCAAGCTAGTGACCTCATAAGGAAGCGCTTCTCGGGAGGCAACCCGAGTTTCTAACTCATTTTTGTAGAATACTCCGATTTCACTTTCTCCTTTTTGAATTTGAATTTGAATTTGATTATTTTTTCACCTTTTTGGTTAATAGGTTTTTGGATGATGAAGGAACAAGGATTTTCTATTTCGAAGATGTAAGGATAAATCAAAATTTCTCTGTGCGACCTTGTGCGCGCCATCTGTGCGGGCGCGCAGGCACTGTTAGAACCCGCACAGATTTAATCAAAAATTGAAGCTCGAGGCAAAAAGTTTGCGCGACTTGATGTGCGTCATCTGTGCGGGTGTGCATGGTTTCTGTGCGGGCGCGCGTTCACTGTCAGATTCCGCACAGATTTAATCCAAAATTGAGGTTCGAGACAGAGAGTTTGTGCGACCTATTGCGCCCTCTGTGCGGGCGCGCAACTCAACTGTGCGGGCGCGCAGAGCAGGAAAATCGGGTTTTAACCCTCTTCTTTCTAATTTCATTCTCATATTTTCGAAACCCAATTTTCATGCTATCTTCTCTCTCCTCACAAACCCAAACTATAACCTTCAAATTTCACCCATTTTTCACAAATTCCATTGATTTTCTTTCAAATCCATCAAAAACTTTCACTCTACTCACAAATTCACCCACTTTCTCACTCCAAAATACCCAAAATCCCCCATTTTCATGGTTTGCAAGATTCATTGAAGGTGGTGTTCTTGGAGGCTTTTAGTGGTGTTCAAGATACTACAAAGTGGTAAAAGTCTAAATTTTTCTATCTTATTACTTCATTTCACATATTTATGCAAATTTTTAGTTATTAAACATGAATTAGCTTGAGTGAATTGCATGTGATTTTGGTTTTCTTTGTGAGGGATTTGTTTGTTATTAGTGTGAAATTTGGTGTTTTTGGGGACTTTGTTGTTAATACTATTGTTTTGGAAGCCGTTTTCATGAAATTAAGTTGAGAAATTTGGTGTTTGAATTATTAATAATGCAACTAATTTCATGAGAATTGCTTGCTATCATAATGTCTTTTGATTGACTGCTTTGTTGTTGATTCTTGTTGTCTTGGGCGTTATATTTCTATGGTTAGTTGTTAGCACAAACCCTTTTGCAGATTGTTGAGACTTGAGTTGTTGTTGTTGTTTTCCAATTGTTGGTTAAGTTCGAAGGTAGTTCTCCTTTTGGTTGGGTTTTTTGTATTGGTTGAACATAATGAGCAAAAGAAAGAGCAGAAAGGATCCCAGGTTAACGGTTGAAGAACCAAGTACCCAAAAAACTCAAGCTCAAGGACCTAATGTTCCCCCTAGATTGAGATTTTTGAACAAGGTCCATGCTACGTTCTTCAACGACCTTCACGAACGAAAGTTAAATCCCTCCCGACACTATGATCAATGCTCCATGAGAGCTTTAGGGATTGACGACGATATAAGGTCGCTCCTTGATAACTTGGGGATGAGTGAGTTCATCAAACATCAATACCGAAATTACAAGGAGCCAACTTTCGAATTCTTGGCCTCTTTTGAAAAAGAGCCTCTTGGGAACGACTTCCAAATTTCCTTTTAACTGTTCAACAACCGGCACTCTATGACTCATAATGATCTTAATGTATTGTTGGATTTGAACCCCGAGGCGGACCTCCTTGGACCTTCGTTGAGCCTGTTCCCTGAGTATGATGCATTTAGATGGTGGCAAACGATTACCAACTTTGAAGAGTTCAACAGCAGGTATTCAGTGGCCAACCATATTATCCAACCTGTGCTCCGTATTCTACACCGCATTCTGGGGTTTGCGGTGTTTAGCATGCAGGATTTGAGCAAGCTCTCTCATCAGGAGCTATTTACTTTGTGGGTAGCCATTAGCGAGGAATTGAAAGGGCGGCTCAATATGGGGTACTGGTTCGTCTTGTGCGGCAAGGAAATCAAATCGGGCCACAAGACAGGAGAAATTGCCCTCGGTGGGATGATTACAAGGATTGCCAAGAAGCTCGACTATGAACTCTTCTTCCCTTTCGTGCACTCAAGTGGGGGCCGACAAAGATCTATTCATCGACATTCAGCAGATGAGAAGGTCGGGGTTCCTCCAAGGAACTTCAGATGCCAACAATTTTCAGGCATGGATAGTTGACAGAGAGCACCATTGTATCTTGCCATACCCCAGCCGTACATCCTTGGAGCGGAATGCAAGGAATGTATGGAAGATTCTGCGAGATAATGGTGTGCTACCCACTGCTCTATGTGGCTTAAGTAATTTGGAAGTCGGCCAACAGCAAAAACAATAACAACAACAGCAACAACATCAGCAACATCATCAAGGCATGAGTAGGCTTGAACAACAAATGATGAGCATGCAACTTGGCATGCAAAGCATAATGGAGAACTAGCAGGGTATGTTTCTGCAAACCCAAGCTCTTTATGGTGCGGCCGTGGATATGGATGAGGTCACCCCCCCCCCCCCCGGTAAACTATTGGCCACCCCAACAAGGGTCGGTCCCTGGGTGGCAGAGATCCTAACCTACTTGGCCCTATTAGCAAGGGCCCTACTCCCACGGTGTTCCCCGGGTAGACTACCCGACGAAAACCGGATACGATTATCGTGCCCCCGGGGGGAGCAATTTTGGGGTGACCCCAACTATCCATATGTCGACCCTACCCACCCTTCCCCTCTTTAGCTTCCCGCCCCTTTCGAACTGTTGCCTCAATGGAAATAAGACCTCTTCCGAGGTCACTATGGTTGGCTTTCGACCCACACGGCATCCCTCAGGACAGTTTCTCTTACGACACCGAGGATGGTGACGAAGCCGGCCCTAGTGGGCACTAGACCCCTTGTTCTTTATTTCTCCCCTTTGTCCCCTCCCAATGTTTTTAATTTGGCGCACCGCGGACGGTGCATTGTTTTAGTGTGGGGGGGTGTGTAAGAGGCAAAGGGATGTTTTTTTTAGTGTGGGGGAAGGCTTGTCTTTATGCTAGTGTGGGGGGGATTTTGTTGTAGGTGGTAGAGCTCTCATGGTTCGGTTGGCTTTATCATGTTTTGATGTTGATTTATCTGCTTTTTGTGATGATTATGTCCCTGGGTGATTTTGATAAGTTATTGCTAATGAATTTTCAAGTGTTTGTGTAGGTGATGGTGCTCCTTAGAGGAAAAATCCAAACTCTCGGTAGTCCAAACCTCCCTTAATCCAAATTTCTTTTAGTTTATTTTATTTTATTTCTATTTCTTCTTTTTGTTTAAATTCTTAGTTCTTTCCCTGATTTTTAACTTTTTATTTTATCTTTTGTTTCATCTCAGTCGTTTCTTTCATTTTGGCTTACTTTTGAAGCTTGGAATTGGAGATAAAGGAATCTAAAGGGCAATTCGAGCCCCCCTCGGTGAGATTGCATAATTTATCTTGTCTGCATTTCATGCGGCATTTGGTGAGACCTTTCCTCTCTTTTATTTTCTTTTTCCTTGGGTGTTTAGCTTAGGTTTAGCTTAGGAAGAAGTTGAATGGTTCGAGTATGTTTGCTTTTGGTTCTATGGAACCTGGGATCGTTTATGTTGTTATCGAACGATCACTTGTATGACGATTGGGATTTAATTAAATTATATGCCTCGTATGTGAAACCTTTTGATTTCTTCCTCTTTCTTTTGTTTTGTTTTACCCCTTTTTGTGTTACAAGTATAATTATGACAATTTGAAATGAATTTTGATGTGTAATTTGCTCACTCTTTTGGATTGGTTTGCCTCGATGTGTCTTTGAATGCTTATCTTCCTAATTGATGAGGGTTTGCACGGATTAAGAATGCTTTGGGTTGAGTTAGACACATTGTAAGCTAAGGTAGCCCGGTTTAGAACTTTTGAGGACGTTTGAACCCCTAGCTCACGGGAAAGTGGTAAGATGGTGTTGCTCTCTATGGTGGATAGGATTCCTTTGGTTAGTATTTTCTATATTTCTTATCACGTGTGAGCGTCATTTGTTCTAGCCTTCATCATTCTTGTAAGCGGCACTTAGGATCATAAACTATGCATGTCTTTATCTTTGTGTTGGCATCTAGCTCCCAAGATCGTGATCATTATAACTCTAGAGGAGGAAGAGGGCATTTCTTCTCATTTTTCTTTGTTTTCTTTGTGTTTTATTACAAATTTGGTTTTCGTTTTTACATTCACCCTCTTGCTAACCAATTTGAACCTTATTTACCCTTTCTTGACTTAGCCATATTACAAACATATCGGCCTATGTTCTACCAACCCTTGTAGTTAGTGAAGCATTGGCTTGTGAGGTTCGAGCTTGATAATGTTGAAATTGATCAAGAAGTTGTGTAATTTCATTCAAATAAGGTTATGAAAGGCTATTCATGAACAGAGTACACAAAAAGGATTGGCAAGAAAGTTGAAAGGGCTTGAAACTCATGAAAAAATAAAAAAAAAATGAAAAAGATTGAAGTAATGTGGTGGGTTTGTTTCGAAAGTTTGTAAGTTTGAAGAATAGGTTCAATTCTTAGGATGTTCTTGAGAGATGGCCACTCTTACGCTTCACTTAGGATTTGCCACAAAAATTTTCAAATTGTTTCCCAACCATAACCCCTAGCCATGACATTACAACCCTACTTAAGACCCTTGGATTCTAGAAGGGCGTGGTCAAAGGACGGTGGGGGAGATAGATTTCAACCCTATGGAGGGAGTATGCATAGTTGAGATGTCGGGATGACCTTATGACTCCACATAA